ATAAATTATGAATATATAAACTTAAGAAATATCCAATCAAATGACTTAAATTAAGTAGAATAAGCATACTTAATATAACATTGTATTATTATTTTTTGAAATTTTTTAAAAAATTAAAAATAAATAATAGAAAATCAAATCTTGAAACATAAACATATATTTTAAACTTTAAATTAAATTTTAAAAATAAAAATATTTTATTTTTTAAAGTTAAAATGAAAAAGGACATCTTGAGCCTTTTTTTAAAAAAAATTATTAAAATTAAGCTTCAAAGTTCAATTTTTTTAAAACATAACATTTTTTTTAAAATTTAAATATTTATAAAAATAAGTTTAAATAAGCTGCACGTCGGTTCTTATTCTCAACTTTACATGCTTCTCCAAAAAACATATCTCGATATTGCCATCGGAAGGAAACGTGGACGCAGGAGGGCCAATAATACTAGTCTACGTGGATATTAGGGAACGACAGTTGTCCACTTTGTTATGCCCCTAAAGGGTCCAAGACGTGATGGGTGAGCTGGCCACGCAACCTTCATTTTTCCGCCAGTGGGTCCCACGTAGCGATTCAGAGTCCACCTGCGTGGGACACGTCACTGTTGGGGGCACGAAACCCAACATCAACAAAGGCATGTGGGAAAGGGGGGACCAATCAATCCTTCGTACGTGGGCATCGCTGGCCTGACGGGCTTTGCTGGCTTCAATTCCGTAACCTACGGTGGCGTGGCAGATCTAGAGCCTTCTGATTCAATCAACCATGAGCGTAGGATGTGTTCTAGGCTGTGCCGGGATATGTTTTTATATGAATTTTATATTTAAGTATTAAATAGACTTCCAGCTTGATGATGTAAAGTAAACAGCCATGGTCCGCGTCCGTTGATGTGTAATAGACGGTTGGGATTAAATGTTTGTTTTTGGCCATGGCATGAGACTAATGTTGTCTTTTGGTACGGGCGAATTGAATTTGAATGGAATGGAATGAGAAAAGGTGATAAAATGGAGTATATGTCATGTTTGGTACAAAACAATTGAAACCCCTCCATTTCTTTTCCATCAATTCTGACTCAAACCATTCAGTTTTGGCCCCAAAGAAGCAGTTCACATCATCACCCCATGATTAAATCTAAATTTTTTAATATATTTTTACTATTACTTATTTATTAAACATGCGAATACACATAATCTATACATATATAATGTAATATGAAATTTAGAAAAATAAAAATCATTTCAGACTCCTGCACAAAGCATATAATTTTTAAAACATGCATGGTGTGAGGGGGAAATATCTAGTTTTCAATTTATATATATATATAATATATAATTTACTGATAAATGTTAATGATATTATGCTAATGTGTTACAACATGATTAACCTACAGGACACATAGGTCTTATTTGGTAGGAAGGATTAAGGGTGGGATTGAAATTGCGATTGAATAATCCCACCTTTTCATGTTTGGTATGAGAGAATAAGAAATTTAATCACAATCTCAATCCCATTTAAATAAAATTACTCAATACCACTACTTTTTTAGTATTAAAAAATCAATTTTAAAATTGATTATTTTCAAATCAAATTGCCCCCTCCTCTTTCCCTCTACTTGATGTCTTTAGACCAAGCGACGCCACATCAATGCCAACCTCTCCTTCACCAACGCCAACCTCTCCTTCACTGACATCGCTGCTAGATTTGAAAGGAGAAAGCCAGAAGCAGGAGATTGAAGATGAGAGGAGGAGAACAATCGACAATCGAAGCCTAACAAATTGCCATCATCATCCTTGCCATCATTTACGTCCTCACCATTTTCAGCACCTCAATGTTATCTACAGGAGGGCTCAAGATTTACCAAAAACTTCAGGATGAAGTACTGCTTTCACAATTCTCTCTCTCCTTGTGGCTTCATTCTTGAATTGTTTGATGAAAAACAAGAAGAGCAAGAAGAAAGAAGAGGAAGAAGACAACGAGGAGTGATGGAAGGTGTCTTCATGCGTTGTTGGAAAGCAGAGGCAATGGCCTTTTTTCACCACCTTGGTCACTCTTTGGGGAGAAGGAAGGTGATTATCTGAGTTATAATTTTAATTTTTATTTTATTTCAAGAGGTATTATAATATTTTTATAATTTATGTTTAATTGTAAAATAAAGTAAAGGCAAGTGTTTCTACAAATATTACTTCATACCAAACATAATTTTAAAACTTCATTTCTAATCTTAATTGCTCAATCCCAATCCTTTTAAATTAAAATTTGCATACCAAACAAAGCCATAGAGAATAAAACGAGTTACAATATACTCATACTTGATATATATTATTAAAAACAAGTGGTAATGTGTAAAATGGAATTCCCTATCAAGTATGAGTATAGATGACAAGTAAAGTGCTACCGAGCCAAAACCCAAAAGGCCAGTAGTCGTGATCGCAACATTAATTGATCGATTTTAGGATTAATGTTTAGGTATTTTAAGAAAATCAGGATTTTAAATACACAATATTAATTGATCGATTTTAATATGCAATGGAGATTTTGATTTTCAGAATCCTGAAACGAAGATAAAATCGTGGAGTGAATTTGCTAGAATTGGGGCGCCAAAATCAAACGAGAAGCTCGTGTATATAGTTTGCAAATATTCTGAGTTATTCAATGAATAGTTAAACAAAAGCGAGTGCCGTAATTAATTAAATGATTAAAAGCTACAATAATCATGCATTTAGAAAAGAGGGTGTTGAAGAAATGAAGCGGATGAGACCTTCATAATCCGATTTCCCAATCCACGACTCATGACACTTATTATTATTATTATTATTTTGGCCAAGACTTGTGATACTTTAATTGCGGCCATTAAAACAGTGAAACTATAGCAAACATAGACCACCTATTTTATTCTTCAAAACGTACCTAGTTCAACAGACAACGTCTTTATGAAGTTGCGTTCTGAGTTACTTGAGTGCATGGATAGTAATACGAGTTGGGATTGGTTTCAATCATAAAAATGTTGTCTGTTTTGAGTATAGCCTGAGGGGATTTGGTATGAATAACTTGAGAGTCTTTAGACTGTCCAATAAAGCAATTTTTTTTTTGGTTACAAATAAAAAAGATGCTCATTAAATATTAACACCATTACCATTTACGCAACTATATATGAAAATATAATTAGGTATGTTCATCCTTGCGACAATATAAGTATATATGTTACATTTAAAAAAGGGCTGATGTTTAATTTAGAAAGGTGAACAATTTAAAATATCAAAGCCTATTTATTATATGGCATGAGTAGTACTGGACAACGCAAAACGAAAAAATAAAAAAAAAAACATTAATGCATTGGGAATAATATTTTATTCATATACTTATTATGCTCAGTGCATGCTTGGATTCAATTCTTTGCAAGTTAAATAGACTTTTAACCAATGTTTAGTTACTTTTTTATCTTAGTCTGTAAGAAAAGTCACATAAAAAGTTATAACTTTGTAAACAAAAATCGAAGAATAGCTTTTGGTAAAAATTTTATTAATGTTTATTTATTTGTATATGTATAATAAATACGCTCCTTTTTTTGTGCGAAAAATATATGTATAATCAATGCAGATTAAGATTGCGTGACATTGAGCACAGCTTTGTGACAAAAATATAACCTTTACCACAAGATTCAAATCCATTCGGCTTAAACAACAGTGACAGTGCATTCCATCATATAAAAAAAAAAAAAAGGTTTTTTGAACTTCCCAATCCTCACTAGCCACTACACGTTAATTTAATACTCTGGGTGCTTTGTTTGCTGCTTGCTTACTATACAATAAAACACTATCTTACATTTATCCAAAAAAACATGGTCCTTAATCTCAATGGATATAATTCTAGGGTGAAATTAAACTATGTGGTCGTCGCTTATGAATCATGCGGAGTAATTTATTGCTTAACTCGATGACATGTCTCAAGTAGTTTCGTATATCCAATCAAATAAAAGTAAGAATGTTGAGAAAAAAAAATTAAGAGACTTGTTCATACAAATTATATAAAGCGAAATAGCAGATACATGGGGGCTAAAAAAGTGTTCACATATGGAATACGCTAATGTTGTAAGTAGAAGTTTAATTTCTCTTGGAAACGCTTTAAAAAGCTCACACTTCTATTTTAAACGGGCATAAATTAAAGAAATGAGACAGTGGTTCCAATAAGGTAAACTACGACATTTATATTAATAATTACAAATTACAATTAAAATGAGTGAATAATAAAATAAAATTTTATATTACACATCAATATAGGAATTCAGTATCAAAATTTAATTATGCAATTGATAATGAAATAATATCCACATCAACGGCTGCGAATGAATCCAAGGGCGAGAATTCAACCACTTGTCACATGTCAGACTGTTTGTATGGTATCATGAGCTTAAATATTTTAAAATTACAAATATCCGCTCGCCCACATCATACAATGTTGGCCCCCACTCGCTACTCGTGGACTCCAACTGACTCATTAAATTTAGTTAATTCTATTAAATTATTGTTTTTGTCAGTCTCCATTCCAAACCGATAGTTTTAATCAAACCAATATATATATATGTGTGTGTGTGTGTGTGACTTTGTTATTCAATCGTGCATGGATGGTATTATTTTTAAGCAATAATAAACGTTTAAAGTTATGATTATGATCATAGCCATTCGCAAAATTGCTTTGCATTTATCACAGCTGCTCCAATATTTTTCTTTGTGGTGTCATTTATGATCATAACTTATTTAATAACAATAAATAAAGGCAAGCCTAATCATATAGTTAAAAATAGGCGGAAGCCACGTGAAGGCTAGGCTGGACCCCTCAAAGCAAAGACGCGTAGATCGACTGTGGAATAACCACGTGTACGGACACGGTGGCGTTGGAATAAAATAAATGGCCAGCACGATCGCCGATGGGCCAGCTCAACAACCACCACACACGAACCACACCACCCCCGTATATACGGTGTCCATATACCTTTCCTCTTTATACGACACGTGTCTGGTGACGTGGTCGTCGTTTTGGCGCTCCCCCTCCTCCTCCTTCTTCACCCCCTCCGGCCTCTCCTCCCTTTCTCGCTCTTCTTTCTGCCGAAGCCAAAGCCTCTTTCACGCTGTCTTTCTTGAGAGAGAAACTCCACAGACTAACCGCCTAGCAGTCTGATTAGCCTTGTCTAACCTCAATATTTCTTCCCGGAATTTGAGGATAGTTTGCAGCGGCGAGGATTTTGTCTTTGTTTTGCCAATTCAATTTGCCCTTTCTTTATTCTTCTCTCGGTTCCCTCATCGCTACGTGTCGAGAACACCTGTCTGTCTGTCAGGTTCGTGGAATTCGCTGTTTTCCTTTTTTAAAATTGGAAGATTTGTTTCCTAATGTATATTAGATTTGGATTTTGTTTGGTGCCTGAGAAAATTCGTAATAGTGAGGGTTCGGTTACATTAGGTCCTCTTGTTTGTCGAAGAAATTATAGTAACAAACGAATTTGAATGTATGATAGTCTGAAGCTTCGTGTTTTAGTGAGTGAACCGTGGAGAAATCTCAGCTGGGGAAAACTGGAATTTTTTGGTGCAGCATGAACTTTTTTCTGTTGAAAGTCAAAAGAACGAAGTGTTCCTTGATTTTTGTTCGGTTGTATGTTTTGTTTTCTATTTCATTGTATCTATGCAAATTTAGAAGAACAGACCGGGGATAAGAGTTGCGGGTACCCTGGATCTCGTTTTATATCTGCCATTACTTTTGAATTTTTGTGCTTTTATGGGTGTTGACTTGATTGGGTAACATGGTAAGTGCCTTCGTTTCATTTTGAAGTGTAGTAGTCCGCTTATGTCAATTTTTTTTTTTAAAAAAAATTTGGATTTCAAACTGATAATAGCTGAAGAATCAGGTATTCCCAACCTTTTTGGCCAGTAGAAGAATCAGATATTGGATCAGAAGGTGTAATAAATCATAATCTCAGGCGGCAAAGAGGTTCTTCAACAATCTTACTGCCATTTTCTGATCCACCTGAGTGAACAAGTTCGGATTGGAGGGTACTTTGGTCATTTAGCTCTCGAATTTTTCCGTTGAGAATTCGGGATAGATTGTTGGTTTATGCCCTGTTAGTCGCGTCTATCACTTTTTCTCCAGCAATCGGCGTCAGCTCGTGGCTTGCCAAAAGACACAATTAGCCCTCTCCTCTGACCCACTATTGCGCCTATGACTCAATCGTTTTTGTGCGCCCCTTGCGCTTGATTATGCTATAGCTTCTCGTGAATACCATGATCCCTCTAATTTATCCTTAATTTAAATAATTATTGTTCACTCTAAAAACAACGGTACAGAAAAGGCATATGTTGATTGGGTTTGCTATTGTCTCCGACAGACCTATATCTCCAGGTCCCAGTTCACTCCCTCGGCAAATACTCTAACCATGACCTTAGATTTGTGACATCAGCTTGTGAGATGAACAGCCAAAGATCGTCTCAGTTGCAAGAAGACCATGCTTGAATTGAAATCCTGGAATTGCCATTCTGTACTGCTCATGTATTGTCCTTGGATAACCTGTATTTATCAATCTGTTCTTGAAAGTAAATCACTAAGTTATGCTGGTTTGTAGGAATTTCAATGATCACATGTTGAAATGTAGAAATCCGTGTTTACGAATATGCCTTGGTCTTCCTTTGTATATCTAGTTGCTAATAGCAGCTAACATGGTTCTTATTGATGCAGCTAGGTCGCCTCTAAAAATTGACTGAGTCAGTACTTTCCATTTCGCGCTCATTACCATGGGAAACAGTGAAGAAGGGAAATCAACTAAAACTGAAAAACCTTCTTCACCTGTAGCAGTGGTAAGCTGTGAATAGTATGCCTCTCCAATTCTCTATGCATTCCTTGATCATGAAGTTTGTGCCTAAATCTATCAAGCTATGAACAGGACCATGCTAATCAAGGCAGCCAGACTAACATTCATGTCTATCCTGATTGGGCGGCCATGCAGGTTAACTACCATCTACCTTTGTTTTCTTTGTCTTTTAATAATTGGAGTTTTCATTTTAGTTTTGTTAGCAAAATTCCCTGTGATGAAAATGAAGATAGCTTCTCTTAAAATATAGTTTTTTAATTTGTAGAGTCCTGCTCCAAGTAGGTCTAATCTATAATAATTACTTAACTTCTATATTACTCTTATATTTCCTGATCTATATCTTAATATTTACAGCTTGGAGCATAATTTGTCTCATTTTCTTCCTTATTTCCATGCTATATACATATGTATTTTCAGAAGTAGTGACCTGCTTCTACTAACTCCTGGCAAAGCCATCAGCGACCTCTTATTTTGACAAGTACTATTATCACCTTTAATTTCCAATGCACTTCTTTCTAACTAATGCCTGTAATTGTTCTCGAGCGTTCCTGTTTGTAGCTATAAACCATCTTCTCTATGGAAGCATCAGGTAGAATGTCATTTAAGTTGCGCCTTGTCTTGCATATTTGGTGCTTTGTGAGTTACTATAAATCCATCAATAGCTTTGGGCTAGTGAATATCAGCATGGAGTTGTGCATTTTGGTCAATCTTTTCAAAGCTGTTTCTGTGGCGGTAGGAGTGTAAATTTGAATCCACTTGAAAAGGAAAGGGATAGAAATATTCATGGGTAAAAAAAAAAAAAAAAAGGTTCTATAGTATAATCTCCCTCATACTTTTTGTGGTAATTAGAAATGTCTCTTATCTTCAGGCATATTATGGGCCAAGAGTCTCCATACCACCATACTATAACCCAGCTGTGAGTTCTGGTCACCCTCACCCATACATGTGGCCGCCACAGGTAACTCCTGAAAGCATCAATCATTTTCTATTATCACTTCCATTTTCTTCTGAAGAATTGGATGACATGTCAACTTATTTTTTCTTGTAGCCCATGATGCCACCACCATATGGGACTCCTTACGCAGCAATTTATTCACATGGAGGTGTTTATCCTCATCCTGCAATTCCAATAGTAAGTATGAATTCCTGCAATTTATCTTGTGAGGTTTTATTTTTCATGTTATGGAATTTGGAATTGGAGCTCATATTCATTATTTGGACATATGTTGGATGTGCTGTACCTAAATTTATGAACATGGGCTTTAAAAGGGTGAGACATAATGCATTGGGAATTATGCATGCTTGAGGGCATCTCAAGTCTCAACCGTCACGTACACTTTATTGGTTGAAATTTACTACTTATTTATGCTAATGCATTATTCTGGTAATATATAGGGGCCACAGTCACATGGTCAAGGAGTTCCAACCTCACCTGCAGTAAGTTTTTATCTTCTTGGAGATCTCACCCTAATAATGAGATCATATGAATGTGATAAAATCATGACGGGTTCACATTGATGTGAACATGTAGGCTGGAACTCTTTTGAACATAGAGACACCAACAAAATCTTATGGAATCACTGATCAGGGTTTAATGAAGAAATTGAAGGGGTTTGATGGACTTGCAATGTCTATCGGAAATGGCAATGCCGAAAGTACTGACCGTGGAGCAGAAAACAGGCTCTCGCAGAGGTTTGTTGATTTTATTTTTCTGTGTTAGCACTTGTGTTCCTTCTTTCTTGCTTTTTTTTTTTTTGTGGGTGGCAATTTTTTTTTTTTTTGGGGTGAGGAGGTGGTTGGTCCTGTTGAGGGTAAAATGAGCTACTTTTTAGTGCTACCCAACCAAAAAATCTAGAAGTCAGATCAGTACATGTAAGTTGATTATTCTAAAGGTTTCGGTGGCTAACAGAAAATTTTATAATTATGAACAGTCTGGATAGTGAGAGTTTCAGTGATGGAAGTGACACCAACACTGCAGGGGTAAGAGTTTTCTCGCTATTAATGTTTTTTCCTTTTTTAATGGAATTTTGTTTCAACCACTAGCCTATTTTTCTTAAAAGAAACTTTAAAAAAAATTCCTTACTAACTTGTGCATTTGCCTATCTTGTGGTCAGGCTAATCAAGCAAAAAAGAAAAGAAGCCGTGAGGGAACACCAGCTACTGGTAAGACTTTTATTCTTCTCCTAGTCTTACATGTTGAAAAAGAGTGGATTTGTCCTGGGATCACATTTACACTTCTATTTTTATCACAGTATACATAATATTAAGCATTTTGTTGAGTAGGATCTCCATAAATTGCATGCTATGCTATCAGTCATGCTCTAGACGGTGGAATCTTGCTAGTTTTTGACCTGGATAAATTTCACCAAGTTGGGCTCTTGCCACCTGACTGCCTGAGACGTGATGTCCTATATGTGCTGTTCAATTAATGATAAAATGTTATACAGTGATAATTACCATTGCTTGAAGATGTAGCGCCGTTGGAGTTCTATCTGCATAATGTAGTTCTTAAATAATTGTTATTTTCCTGATTGTACAAGCAGATGGAGATGGCAAGACAGGGAGACAAGCAAATCCAGTTTCCAAAGCAGGTGGAGCTTCTAATAAGATGACATCAATTACCCCAGCCACTGTTGTTGGAACAGTAGTTTCTTCTGGTATGACAACAGCGTTGGAGCTAAGGAACCCATCTGTTCTTTCAACACATTCCCCGAGTAATCCAAAGCCTTGCGCAGTAGTGCCTCCTGAAGCTTGGATACAGGTATGGTGAAGGAATAGTTCATCATCTTGGTTTGACTCATACTAAGCATTTCAAAAGCACTTGAGCAGCAAATTAGAACGATTATGCTGTGTTTTCTGCGTTAGCTGACAATAAAAGTACTTGCTGTGGATATGTTTGATTTTCCTTAGAATGAGCGTGATCAGAAACGGGAGAGGAGAAAGCAATCAAATCGGGAATCTGCAAGACGGTCCCGCTTAAGAAAGCAGGTATGCTTGTTGCAGATCATCGCTACAAGCTTGGAAGACTTGGTGCTTCTTCCGTTCTTCATCTGTGTGAAGAAAAACATAAACTTGCACGAAGCAGAATGTGACTAATTCTCATATTTCCTCTGTTCAGGCCGAGACTGAAGAACTTGCACGAAAAGTTGAATCCTTGACATCTGAGAATATTACATTGAAATCAGAAATAAATCGATTGACCGAAAGTTCGGGGAAACTTAAGATGGAAAATGAGACATTGATGGTAATATTCAATATAGACATAATATTTCTTATTGCATGCATATCATCATAGCTAGTCTTTGATTGCTGATTCTTGTATTTGGCCAAAAAAAAGATACTGATTCTTGTAATGTTTTTGACACCCAGGAGAAACTGAAAAATGCTCGAGGACAGAAGGATGGAATCATTTTGACACCTAGTACAGAAAATTTGCTATCCAGGGTTAACAATTCTAGTTCTTGTGATAATAATAGAACTAAGGAGGGTGAGAACGCTTTGTGTGAGAAGAAGCCGAACTCAGGAGCAAAGTTGCATCAACTATTGGACACGAATCCTAGAACTGATGCCGTGGCAGCTGGCTGATATCAGATTAAAAAAGCAGTGATTATAATATATTTGGTTCTAATCATGTGTAGTTTTGGCATATTAAAAGCCCAAAATTACTACTGCTAACAGTTGGATTTAGGATTTTGATGTAGCAAGACCAGAACTGATTCTTTTACTCGTCAGTTTCTTGGAGCAAAAACTGAGGACTCCACTAGAATTGACAGCAGTTGATGACAATCTGAAAAGCTTGTAAATTGAAGAGGTTTAGAATTGAGGGCATTGTTGTAGTTGAACCCTTTTGTTGATGGTTGTGAGTGCATGATTGGTGCAGGCCTTGCGATGATCAGTACCCCTCTGCTGACGCGGCATAGCGATATAATTATGACCTGCGTATTTAATCATTTTCAATTTTCATGTTGATTTTGATTGATTTGAATTTTTTTTTTTTTTTGGGCAATCGATCAAACATATACGATTCATTACCCACACACCATATGCTGGTAGGCCTAAGATGAGGTAGCAATCTTTACGCTATTTCTATTAGAACGGTACAGAAAAGCCTAGATTGAAAATTCGATGTTTCCCAGAATAACGAACGAGTTAATTGAAGGATTATTCATATATAAAAATTTATGAAAGGCTAAAATATTAGTTTACTTATTGTGGTTCTTCAAATTTCATGTATAAAACATGGGCCATAGTAATGGGTAACACGAGGGATTTATCATTCATATGGCCTAGGTACAAGATTAATTTCTATGGACATTGCGAGGTAAGAAGATATTGTTCACTAGTCATTTTGGTAAACAAAGTGAAACGAAATGACATTATTTTTTGATAACAAATAATAATTGTTAAATAATATCCCCGACGAAGAAACCTCCCACATAGCATTCTTTTTAGGCCTCGTTTGGTATGATAGAAGAGTTTTTAATGGAATTAAAATCGAAATCAGAATAGAATTGAGTTTTAAAAGTATGTTTGGTATGAAAATGAAATTCTAATATAATATTAATTTATATATGTACTTAAAATAAAAAAAGACTAAATTATCCTTTTTTAAAAAATTAAAAAGACCTATCTTGTTATAAATAGACAAAAAAGATGAGGATAATAAGATCCACAAATTGAATTTAAGAGAATTGAAGCAATTTCATGGTCAATATGATAGAATTGAATTTTAACATTTTTGGTGGAATTAGAATTCTTAAGAATTACAACTCTTGCATACCAATCATGCTTAAATTAGGATTCCATCTTTAATTTCATTTTCACCTTGCCAATTCAATACTACCAAACATGACCTTACTGTACTCATATGACTTCAACTCATGCACCTCAAAATGAGGCCATTTTTCCCAGAAAATATTCACTGATATGATTAGTTTTGGAGGAACATTAATATTTAGAACTCAAGGATAGAGTATTCATTCATATCTCTGCTATTTAAGCGGGTTTAGTGCGTGTTATTATATCTCTAGTTATCAAACGTCTCTACAGAGGCTAGTGCACAGTGAGCAGTCTGCTTAGAACTACTTCGCTGTCATTTCTTCAAGACACTTATTGATGACTTCTTTTTTTTTTTTTTTATTAGTCTTTGATCATCCCCCCTTTTGTTGTCAAAGAAATGGAAGATTGTGAATGGCTGATTTAGACTTTCTTTGTATTGACACTCATTGTGATTAACGCCAGATTCTGCTTCTAATTAAAAAAACACACGCACAATCTATAGGTCGGACCATGGCAATGCAGCCCATGATGATAACTAAGCTTTCTCTCAACGAAAAAGAAATAAGAATGAGCAGACGATGGGACAAGAGTTTGCATTTCGATTGAAGCAAATTCCAAGAGAAACTATCCAGCATCTTGAAGCAAATTTCATCGCATATTACCTTCTCGCAGGACATCAATCATATTGTATATTTTTTTGTTGTCCCTTGTTTCAATCTGCATGAACAGCAAAGTTCATAACCAAATGTTAAAAATAGTGCCGCTAAGAAGTTAACGTGGGATATAAACAAATGGAAGAGGCCATTCATCTCATAGTGTTACGAGAAAACCCCAATTTTGATCCCCAACTGATAGACCAATATTAGATTTCTTCTCCACAAGTAAATTCTTTTAGTCTAGTCCATTAATCATGTTTATCCTATCTCCATACAAAATTTAACATCAAACCTGGGATGCTGACTTGGACGCTATCTGTTTAAATCCATTAACTTTTGGATGGAGATTATCATCCAAGTCGGCAATATCCTGGATTTGACATGAACTTATGAATGGAAAGGGGGGGGGTTAGAAGGACAAACATCGCAAGTATTTTAACGATTGTAAGGACCAACGTACAGCAAAAGATTTGTGGAGGATCACGTTGAGAGAGTTTTCTTCTATTCTTATCAGTGTCAGATTATATAAGTTCAAACTCAAGGTTTTTGAGTAAATCTCCATTATAATCTCAAACAAGCTTTTTCAAGCAAAAGCTCCTTAGGCTAAGCATGGACAAAGCATGCCCTACCACGCCTTGAGTTGAATTAGTTTTAATTAAAAGAATGAAAGAATAAAATTTACTGTATCAAAGAAGAGTTCAACCTAAAAGTTAGTTTGCTGCATAGTGCAGGTAATTTTTTATTTTTCGGAACCCTGCATAGTTTTAATATAATATCTAACCAGAATAAGAAGAATAAGAAGAAGAAGAAGAAGAAGAAGAAAGAAAGAAAGATCAATCGTACGCACATTTCATCAAGTGAATGAAACGGTACATTTAAGCTTAACAACATAAGAAAGAGATGGTGAAAGAATAATCACCTTCTTGGCAAGGAAGATGACAGCATCAACAGTGCCCTCTGCATATATTGATCTACCACAAACATTATGTTGAAACTCAAAGGAAACTCTGCAACAATTTTTTTTAATAAGAAATAAATTATGGACAAGGTAAAGATCAAAACATGCAAAAAAAATGAAAACGAAATTAAAGAGTTTATCTAATACGTTTGGTCTGGCGAAGTCAAATGATACATATGAAATGCATGACCGGATAAGTGCTCCTCTGGGACTCCCACCATTTCAAGTTGCTGCTTGGGATCCCTGATCAATTGTATCTGAAAAATGTATTTGGGAGGGGGAAATACGTGAGAACCAATATCGATTCCAAACTTGCACTCAACATTTTGGATAACTAATAGAACTATGATTTTTCTTTTCCTTTTTTTGAGGGAATATAACTATGATGCTATTTTTTATTGCATGTCAAGCTGAGATAAAGCATGGATCCAGGTCCTGATGGACCAGACGGTCAACCTAGTCATCATCATGTCAGTAGCATATGTTTAAGTGATGAATGTGGACTAAGAGTATTAGAAAATATCCATAGGTCAGGATGAACAAATTGTTGTATTTTAAACTAAATTTCTGAAAACCATAAGAATCAACTGGCCAGAACAAGAAAAAAATTGTGGCAGCTTGAAAAGGGGACTAATTTTTTATTTGGAATTATAGATACCACGGATGTGGGTAGCAGCAGCAAAAGCTCAAAATGAAATAACCCTCTAACATTTAAAGGGGCAAAAAACAAATAAAATTCATTTAAAAAATTATTCAAGGAATGAATGGCGAGGATCAGCTAACATGCTCTGTACTCTTCATTTGAGGCACTACAACTGGCACCAGGATAAAGATCACAATGCAAACAGGAAGTTCATCAAGATAAACATTGAGCATTGCGGTGAGTATCAAACCATATGATATTGTACCCCAATGAACCACAAATGTAATGTAACATACCTGATCCATGTCAAAATGCACCCCTAATTTGTTGAAGCAAGAAATTACGGCTTTGGCAGTTCCAGATGCATCAACTTTGCTTGCTTGATGAGACTCTAATACCTAACATCTTGAAAGAACACATTTAATTTAATTATTACATCAACTGGAAGCTCAATAGAAATACGTCTACAACTTAGAAAAGGAGTTAATTAGACCAATAAACATGGCTTTGGAATACTATGGATACTTATTTGAGATTATTACTAAGCTTCAGTTCTCCCTCCTACTCTTCCTCTATCCCACCATACTTTATTTTTAATTGTAGAATGTGTCTATACATGGGAAAACCCCTCTCAGGGATGCTGATGGATTTCGTTACAGCTAAAATAGAAAGAGACGCTTAACTAGAAAGATTTTTTCCCCCTTCAGTTTCTCTTCAAAAGAAAACAAAGAGTTGTGTAGATGCATTCACCTACAGCCAACAGTATCATCATTAAATAGTGAAGCTTCAAATGCTATAGGAAAATATCAGAGTGAGAAGAGAAAAACTTAAGAAGTGATCCAGGATAACTTCTGTCCATAAGAACCCTGCTTACTCCCAAAGATGTCAAAGAGGAGAAAGAATGACCTGTAGGGAATAACCAGAGAAGGCTCCAGGAAATTGCTCTGCCATAATTTCCATAGCTGCTAGAAAGGCAACAACCTAAGGAAACAGAGAATAGCAGCATAAGGATGACAAAGACAAAAAGGTTAAAAACACAAAAATTGAAAATGATCATGGGTTTTAATTGACATACCTGTTTTCCCATTTGAGGGGATATCACTGCATAAACATTTGAGTCTTCAACAGTCTTATACAACAGGTCCCTATCTCCACCAGTGGTTCCCATCACAAAGGGCACACCAATCTTACAGTACAACTCTGCATTACCTGCATGTGAGGAGAAAAGACTAATTAAAAACTCATACATAAAAAAGACAATAGACTTTGAATTAAATGTTAAAAATTGTAAATTAATACCTCAGAAATCCAAATGTGTTCCTTTCATGAAAGTAACATTGCATGCATAAAATATAAAGGCCAAGCAAAGGCGAATTATTGCAGTCCATTAAATACACTCATTCCTATGTTTAAAATGTCATGAAATTCAAAAAAAAGGGGGTGGGGGACACTAAGGCTAAGGTATTTAAGATACATGACTCAGCATGTTCAGTGAAAACAGCTAGCTTGTCTTTCTTCGCAACGTGTAGTGATTAAGTTAGTTTAAAGTAAGAGGAAGAATAAAAGATTAAAAATATTTTGGTTCTCTCCATTTAACAGTTAACAAGGCTCAAAACTTCAAAAGCATACCATTGACAGCAGGAGGCGCTGTGTAATCCACAACAATCAAATTTGGATATTTATCAAGGACAGAAGCAAGAGTGTTTTCCCTCTCAGAAGGACCATGAACAAGAAACTCATTTCCACAGATCTGAACAGTTCGTCCAGACTCCTCTTCAAGGCCAAATGACAATGGAACAACATACAGTCCAGCAGCTTCTGCTGCTTTAATGACAGCATTTCCCATCTTTCCGGTACATGAATTAACCTGAATTACATAAAGTGATCATAAATGCAGATTTACTCTGTAATTTAGGCGGTCGAATATTTAAATACAAGCAGGGCAACAGGATGGCATCAGTAGACAGAAATATATAAGATAATGACTCATTATTTATCAAAGAGCAGCTGCATAAGGATGTTCCTGTTGAAGTGAAGGCATTTTAATTAATACGGTAAGAGCTCAAGCCAACAGAACAACATCAAAAAGATAAGAAAAATCGAAGGGAAGCATGGTGTCAGCAAGAGTGATGAGGGAGGGTGTGCTGCTGCAGACATGGGAAGTTGCCAAAGTTCGAAGTGAAAGAGATAGAAGATTACAAGGAAAATCCAGATTTTAATTAAATAAGGTTAGACTAGTAACTAGAAAATTTTATACATCAAGGCAAGCAGTTGGCCATTACTGGCATCGATATTATCAACCAAGGTTAATGGCTTTCTCATTTAATCCGAATCATTTTTCCATTGGCAATGATTGAAATGATCTAAGAATTAAGCCAGAAACTCAAGAGGCGAGATTAAATGCCAAGACCTAGTGCAGTAGGCCCAAATTCCAACACGTTCATCATTAATCATTCGCATAGGTGCCATTATAATCGACTTGTCTTGCAGAACCTCCTGAGTTTAATAATCACTGGCATTCGTATTTCTTTCGATTTGAAAAGACTACTGACACTTCATACATAAGTACAACCCCAGTTTACACTGCCTACAGAGATGAAAAGAAGCAGAGTGAAGCTGAAGAACAAAGACACTGTTGCTCATTTCCCAGGAAGTAGTTGTTCTTATGACCTCGTACCCGAAGGCAAGGTTCGTAAAAAATGTAAAACCAGTAATTTCATTGCTTGGGTCAAGATTTGACCGATAAAACAACTGAGCATTTAAACGGCATTTAAGCATGAACCAAAAGGCAATGAAAACGGAAGGCCGTTATAGTGGTTAATCAGTAATCACCAATATCGGGAGGCCGACGTTCTGGGGCGAAGGCGCAGACTTTTCAAGAAAGCTCTGAACTGAAGATGAAGCTGCTATAGACATTAACGGTAGCATACGTGAACTCTTGTGCGAAATGGGAATGCTGCTCCAGCTACTACCACCTCTTGAGAAGAAAAATAGGTGGTTCTGTTGCTTGTGAGGCACGTTGGTGGGAATTTTCAGAAGGGAAGTCGCCATTAGCGACTGAAGCTGAGGTTGAACAGGGGTTTAGGGCTTTTAGGATCCTGTGGCAGGCTGCTCTGTGACTATGACTATTTTTGCGAACAGGCCTTCATCTTTCTCGTCACTATATTCCTTTCTTTGTTACTATTACTATTACTACTACAATTTGGATGCAAACCCCCTAACTACACTTGCATATAACGACGGCTTATCTTTAATCGTTTAAAATTAAAACTTAATTGTTAATTTTGTTTTTTTTTAATTTTTTATCATTAATTAATCTGTTATATTATTAATTGAGTTTATCATATTAGGTTAAGAAAAGCCACATAAAAACTTACATGATATATCTCATATAAGTAAATAATAAATGCATAAAAATTATTTTTTTTACAAGACTTAAAAAGTTATTCGTCTTGCTAGAAGGATGTTTTAATTGATAAAAAATAATATAATTATAATTTTTGTAAAATTATATTAACAATTAACAATGTTGCTTAAGTTAGAGTTGATGACATAGACCAATTCACAAGTTGCAAATTAATCTATTATGAATTATATGGCCAACCCGCATTTTGGTGGATTGTATTTATGCCCACCCACAATTCATCGGTAAAAGTGTTAAACGCATATATTTTTTATTTTTCAGTTTTAAAAACTACAAATCTATTTCTTTTGGTTATTTTTTATTGACAGTAAAAAAAATCATATTTTGCCCCATAATTGAACCTTTTTTCAGAGTTTAACACAATTTCTGACGGCACATCAGTTCAATTTTTAATATATGCATGCAAGTTTAAGACCAATCGTTATTGTTTTAACGAGGAGTATACAAAAAGCATGGGCCGCGCGATTTGATGTTTGTATTTAAAAGACAGTGACAACTTGGAGAATACAGAAGAGACGTGTCAAGGAGAGGGCTGATTTATTTGCTTGATTATCCACTAGTTAATGTAAAACATCGATTGTTTGATAGATTTGTGTAATCGATGACAATGATGAGGACATGGATATTTTAATCTTGTTATCTTGGCTATGGACGTTCTTCTTCTCCATCAGCCTCTAATAATAATAAGAGCTTTTGATGCATAGTTCATGATTACCTGGTTGTATACTCATATTATTAAAATTAGGGGGGACATATAATAAATATACATCAAATAATGTTAGTCAATCATACTGGACAAGTTGATGTTAATAAAGGATGAAGCTAAATGCTGAACATGAATGAGGAAGTGAGGACGAGGGTTTTGTTTAGAGTTATGATTTAAAAAAAATAGCAGTATAACCTGCGAGTGTAGGTTCAAAAGTGCGGATATGCATAGGTGTATATCATCATCACCATGAAGTGAACAATAGCATCAACAAATAATAGTAGTAGAAGTGACAACAGCAATAGTAGTAGAGTAGTGGCGATAGCAGTCATAATGATAGCTGCTGTGATGATGGTAATGGTAATCAGGAATACTAGCCATATGGTAAATATATTTTTATGTTCACAATATAAAAACAAAAAGCTTGCTACCCACACTGCTCAACAAAAGCAGGAAAAAGAAGGGCAAGAAGAGAGATTGATGTCATAGAAGGCCAAGGAATTTAATGCATTTGATCAACAAAATCATAGTGCCCTGCCCCCATATAATGACAGAACTATAGTCAGGATAAGTAAGATTTTCATGGGGCAAATAGTGTGAAGGTCATAGTATGAAGGTCAGATCTTATGAAAAGGAAGCTCTCTTGACAATGAAGGCATTCTGGCTGCCTTTTGTTATGCTAGATGTAATATTCTCAGTAACATTACCAAACACATTGGATACCAAACACGAAACATTGTTATGACCACTCGAATATTTGAATCTTGAAGAAACGATTGTCATAACTCAAGGGTTATAAAAAATATTTAGAAATTGAGATTTCAAGGAAAACCCTTTTTAAAAGTCGTTTGAGCTCACACTATAGTTTAAGATAAATCACGCACGATAACAAAAGCAAGAAAACACAAAGCAACACTTAAAAACACAAAAGGGGAAATTTGGAAAATTCCAAAATTTTGGCCTATCCACCACAACACAGGCCACACCTGCTGCTGCGGATGGCACAGAGAGACTTGTCCCACAAAGAGCATTACACCGCAGCATAGCACACGCTATTGTCTGTCATGACAGTACTCTGAATTTTTAGGGCGCGCTATTTCATCATTTGACGTCCGATTTAAACAATTCAAGTGTCCATACGTAGCTCTTAAAGCCACCAAACTATTGGCATTGGTTTCACACCTAAAACTAAGTCAAATGGAATTTGAACACTCAAACCCAAAATGATACATTTTCTTTCTAAAACTACCATTAAGATGTCCAAACTCCCAAACTAAGTGCCAATAATTGTAGAGCCACTTGAATCAACTTTAATGGACCACCAACAACCTATACACACATTCAAATCACAATAAAAACAATCCAGACAAAATTTGGCCACCAAAAACCTATATTTAACTTAAATTTTTACAAGAGGTAAAACTTACAATCATCTTTTAAATGGCCAAATAAACATTGTACCAACGTAAAACTAACACTTGCACTAATATCTTGACTTCTCACAACCATTATAACACAAATACAACAATAGAAGGGCTGAGAAAAAAAAGCCCAAGAAGAAGCTAGCTCAAATGAAGCTTCATATAACAAACATGTATGAGTTTAAAGATTCAAAAATCATTAATATGGAAAGTAATCTACCTTATGGTGTGTATTCCTTGAAATGATGTCAATTAGAGGAGGAGTTTGAGGTAGAACAAAGACTTATCTTCAAAAAATTTAAAGGCAAGGGTGTTAGGGAAGGAGAATGGGAGCGCCATTTGCCTTTCCTACGGAGTTTAATGTTGAAGAATGACCATGTGTTAATTAGTTGTGCAAAAATTGAGAGACTATTATCAGAGCAAAATTTTAGTCTTGGCACTTTGCCCTTATGGCATACATATAGAGGGGAAATTACTTTTGAAGTTAGTGTTGAATGTTTTTTGAGTAAATGGAAATTTCATTAAGAGGAAAACTATATGACGAAGAGGAACAAGAACAATTATTTACATCAGAGACTTATAGGCAAAAAAGGAACGAGTGATATGATTAACTATGGCTCTAACCTAAAAAAGAAGAGTATCAATATGGAACATTCCATTGGTGAACAGCCTCTTTTTCCTAACTTTCCAAAGCTTCCATCAAACAATACTAATCCTAACCTTCAAAAGATGTCAAGGCAAGGATTATGTGAACAAGTAACCATTAGAGTCTGTCATCTCACCATGGAAATCAATGCACTTGTCAGGCGGCAACATTTTCTTCTAAACCAAGGCTGCAAAAGGACATTATTTAATTGTATGATTCATATCTTCAACAGGGCCATTGCAAAGAGAACATCAGGGATCTTATGTGCATTGTCAAGGAGTATTCCCTTGAGAGATTCATATGCCACATATATAAGACGAGTCGACAGAAAATTCACTAGTCCCTGTGAGGTGCCAGGCACCATAATGGCTGTGGATGGTTTAAAGAAGCTAGTGTTTAATTTGAAAGCCCACAAGGTTCCACTCAATTGCTTTAGCAAGTATTAACCACCTCCTTGATTGGTCTATTAAAGAGATGTTGCAGGTGGCTTTTGATTATGCGTGTTATACTTGTAGTGCTTTATCTTCATTTCTAGTGCTTCATTTCAATCTAACCATTACTTGTATAGCCCTCCTTGGAGTTAGCCTCTAAAGCATACCTCTTCACCTTGGTTTTTATCCATGGGTTTACTCATGCCATTGGAAGCTGGATGCCAGCCTTGATGATATGGTATTTTGCATGGGTAGTTGTAATAATCATGTTTGATACAATTATCCCTGTCACTTGATACAATATCATAATATACTTGAATATACAATATAATATTACAAAAATATCATCAATATCAAATATAAAATCTACATAATAAATTGCACACTATTAGTTATGAATGGAATAATTTAATTTTTGTACAGTATATAAAAAAGAGTATAATGAGAATAATACTGATTTATATTAAAAAAATAAGTTGGTAGAAAACACTAGAAAATAATTATGGTGCTTTATGTTCCCCATGTGGCCAAGCAAATGTGTCGTATGAGATATGTGTACGACCCTCGCTGCCACCCCCAACCATGTGTTGCCGATCTTAGATTCCATTCTCCTTTCCTTTTCTCAATATTTTGTCCTACACACAAACCCCACACATATGTGCATGTGCATGTGTGCGTGTGTGTGAATTTTTTAAAAAAATTATCTTCTATTTTCAATCCTATTCACTTTATTGAAAGGATCGAAATGCCCCTTTCCTTCCTCAGCCACAAATCACAAGTTGCTCATTCCTCCTTCCTAGAGATCTCTAGCAAAGGGTAATTAGACTATTAATATTATATAAAATCAAAGGCATTGGTTCAGTAGAAAAACAAAAGGAAGAAAAAGGAAACGGCGAAGGATGTTGACCAAAGAAGGAAGACGGAAGCCAGAAGATAGCTATGATGTTGAGAATTGGCTATAATGCTTTGAAGAAAAGGTTGATAAAGTAAGCACATCGAAGTCGATGTCAACTAGAGTCGGTAATTCAAATTGAGCCTAATAAATTAGCCTAAACCCACTCAAAAAAATTTAGCACTGAGCTTTAAAAAAATGTAATTTTTTCATGTTCGACCCGAATAGACCTAAAGAAATTCAGGCAAAACTCGATCGGGTTCGATTTGGTCCGAATGCCTGAGTAAAAAATTTTATTTTTAAATATATATAAAAATAATAAACATTAATTAATTATTGAAGTTTTAGGTCATTTTATGTTAAAATATTATATAGTTGAGTCTTATATATAGTTTAAGTATCAAAAATATATATTTTATATATTTTATAAAATAAAATAATTAATTTTAAATTAAATTAATTAAAATAATTTTAAAAATAAAATTTGGGTATTCAGGTCACTGAAAACCTGAAGGGATTCGGGCCAGCTTAGCAATTTAGGCTTTTTAAGGAGTTAGGCTTAATTGGGCTTGAATTCCCAACTCTAATTGTCAACAAGTACATAAAATATTTTTTTAAAAAATTAGATGTTAAAGAATA